GGAAGATAGTATATGTTGTAAAGATGATGGATATTATTGTATATTTGTCTTCTTAAGTTTTCGCGGGTGTGTGTATGCAAAAAATTAAAATCTCGGGTGTTTTCCCGCGTCATGTTAAATAAGTTAGTTAAAAAGTTTAACCAGAATTTTAAACTTTTTAACTAACTTATTTAACATGACGCGGGAAAACACCCGAGATTTTAATTTTTTGTATTGTATATTTGTTTATATATTACCGTATATTTGTTCATGAATATATGTATGTATGTATGTATTTTTCTTCAACAGGGTATTTTCCTACGTAAACCAAGTTTCTCAAATTGCAGCCATAGCTCAGTGAAATCACATCCACTATCCTAGGCTTCTTCAGACAGCAAGCATGCATTTTGCTGCCTATTGGGAGACTAATATAGTCTATTTTGAACTGATTAGTCCTCATCAGTTAGCCACACCCTTACCATATGTTCCCTCCCCGTAGGGGCTAAGTATTTAAGAAGCAAATATGATTGCTTGTGATTGGGATGTTGGTGAAGCCACCCTAGAGATTTTGCTATCTGAGGGGTCCTTGGTGCTCTCTGATAGGATAGGATAGGATAGAATCTTTATTGAGAAAAAATGAATAGAGTTAGAGTAGAGTAGAGTAGAGTAGAGTAGAGTAGAGTAGAGTAGAGTAGAATAGAATAGAATAGAATAGATAGAATAGAATAGAATAGAATAGAATAGAATAGAACAGAACAGAACAGAACAGAACAGAATAGAATAGAATTAGTTGTTGTTCCTGTTGTTCCGCCAGGCTGGGCTACCAACATAATAATTTTAAATTGGGGTATTTTAAATTTCTGGGGTTTTAAATTGAGCCGAATTTATTTAATAATTTTAAATTTTTAATTGATGTTTGTCTTGTGTTTTTAAATAGGCTGTACACCGCCCTGAGTCTCGGGAGAAGGGCGGTATAGAAATAAAATTATACTTATACTTATACTTATACTTATACTTAATAGAGTAGAGTAGAGTAGAGTAGAGTAGAGTAGAGTAGAGTAGAATAGAATAGAATAGAATAGAATTAGAATAGAATAGAATAGAATAGAATAGAATAGAATAGAATAGAATAATCATCTTTGTTGCTCTTCCCTGCACTCTTTCTAGAGTCTCCACATCTTTTTTACATTGTGGCGAATAAAACTGGATGCAGGATTCCAAATGTGGCCTTATCAAGGCCTTATCAAGTGGTATGAACCCTTCACATGATCTTGATATTTTCAGGTTAAACTGTAAGAGGTTGCCCACTTCTGTTATGTGCAAAAGGATAACACCTGAATTCGCCATCTTACTGTGGAGCATAAGAACAAGCTGATCCTAACCGAAGCTACAAGACTAACTTCAAACCTAAGCTAAGTGCCTGGGAAGATGGACGCTGAGCAGAGACCTATCTCCTGAATTCTTCAGCTCTTGCCTTCTCTAATCCCTTTCCAACGTTGAAGGAATGTTCAGGTAATCATCCAGGTGAGAATAGGAATAGGGGAAATGTTGCCATCTTGCCCTTGGCCCAGGGGTGAAATCCAGCAGGTTCTGACAGGTTCTGGAGAACCGGTAGCGGAAATTTTGAGTAGTTCAGAGAACTGGCAAATACCACCTCTGGCTGGCCCCAGAGTGGGGTGGGAATGGAGATTTTGCAATATCCTTCCCCCAGGAGTGGAGGGGGGAAATGGGGATTTTGCAGTATCCTTCCCCTGCCACGCCCAACAAGCCACGCCCAACAAGCCACACCACAGCCACCAAGCCACGCCCACAGAACCGGTAGTAAAAAAATTTGGATTTCACCACTGCCTTGGCCTCCTCCATTGAGAAAATTATCCTTGCCCTGGCTTGACAGGTTAAGCGATCATAGCTTGCTTAGCTGTGGTTTGCAAGGCCCACTTATGCAGAGTTAACTGGACTGTGGTTAGTCCCAAATTCCTTGGATTTGAAGGGTACGGTCAGCTCATGTGGGTTGAGTTCAGCTCAAGTCTGCTGGACTCAACCGAGATTGGTTAACTTTTAATCACTTTGGATGGGGGGTGGGGGGGAAGCAGGATTCAAGAGGACACAATTTTAGATAAATAAATAAATAAATAATTTTATTTCTATACCGCCCTTCTCCCGAAGGACTCAGGGCGGTGTACAGCCTATTAAAAGCACAAAACAAACATCAATTAAAATTATTTAAAATTATTAAATAATTTGGCTCAATTTAAAACCCCAGAAATTTAAAACACCCAATTTAAAATTATTATGTTGATAGCCCGGCCTGGCGGAACAACAGGGTCTTGAGTGCACAGTGAAATTTATTTATTTATTTATTTATTATTTATTAATTAAATTTCTATACCGCCCTTCTCCAAATAGGACTCAGGGCGGTGCACAGCCAAGGTAAAAACAGAGCATACAAAATCTAAAAACAGTATTAAAATAATTAAATATTTTGGCCGTAAATTAAAACAACCCAATTTAAAATCAATTTAAAATTTAACTCAAGCCAGCTCAGCTAGTTGAAATAAATAGGTTTTTATACCCGGAGGTCGGAGATCTTACGCATTTCCGGGGGCAGTTCATTCCACAGGGCTGGGGCTCCCACAGAGAAGGCCCTCCCCCTGGGTGTCGCCAGCCGACATAACTTGGCCGATGGCACCCTGAGGAGACCCTCTCTGTGGGAGCGAACTGGTTGGTGGGAGGCTATTGGTGGCAGAAGTCGGTCTCGAAGGTACCCGGGTCCTATGCCATGGAGCGCTTTAAAGGTGGTGACCAACACCTTGAATCGCACTCGGAAGACCACTGGGAGCCAGTGCAGCTCGCGCAGGAGGGGTGTCACATGGGCGCAACGAGTTGTGCCCATAACCACCCGCGCGGCTGCATTCTGGACCAGTTGGAGCCTTCGAGTGCTCTTCAAGGGGAGCCCCATGTAGAGAGCATTACAGTAGTCCAGCCGGGAGGTGACAAGGGCATGAGTGACCGTGCGCAAGGCGTCCCGGTCTAGAAAGGGCTGCAACTGGCGAATCAGGCAAACCTGATAAAAGGCCCCCCTGGCCACGGCTGTCATATGCTCTTCTAAAGACAGCCGTGCGTCCAGGAGGACACCCAGATTGCGAGCCCTCTCTCTGGGGGGCAAGGATTCACCCCCAATAGTCAGCGATGGCACCTGCTGACTATATTCTGGGATGCCGGAAGCCAAAGCCACTCGGTCTTGGAAGGGTTGAGTCTGAGCCTGTTCCTCCCCATCCAGACCCGCACGGCCTCCAGGCAGCGAGACATCACATCAAGGGCATCGCTGGGGTGGTCTGGGGTGGAGATGGTGTTTGGATGGGACCACCTGGGAATTCTAGCTCTGTAAAGCAAACTGGGTACAGGAACAAACCAGAGGGGGGGGGGGAAAGGCTAGGAAAAACCTGCTCGGCAGCATAGCAGTGCCAAAAAAAACCCGTGCACAGATTCAGTCAACACAGATCAAATTTCATTCCAAGAATCTCTCTCTTAAATTCACAGCTTTCCGTGTCGTGTGTCTGATACTTTTCCCCCTTGTTTGGAGAAGCATGTGGGGCAAAGCGGGGTGGGATAGACAGGGGTGTTGAAGTCTAGGAACAAATCCAACGGGAATCTATGGGGCTTTCTGAGCTGGCTGGTTTTCTTGCAGAGGTACCAATACAGTGGTGAAATCCAATTTTTTTTTTTTACTACCGGTTCTGTGGATGTGGCTTGGTGGGCATGGCTTGGTGGGCGTGGCTGGGGAAGGATACTGCAAACTCTCCATTCCCACCCCACTCCAGGGGAAAGATACTGCCTTGGTAGTACAGTGGTCCAAAGCACCCTGTTATTAAGACCAGCTGCCTGCAATTACTGCAGGTTCGAATCTCGCTAGGCTCAAGGTTGACTCAGCCTTCCATCCTTTCTAAGGTAGGTTAAATGAGGACCCAGTTTGTGGGGGCAATAAGCTGACTTTGTATAAATATACAAAAGTATGAAGGCTATTGCTTAACGCATTGTAACGCATGTAAATCAAATTTTTTTTAAAAAAAACCTCTCCATTCCCACCCCACTCCAGGGGAAGGATACTGCAAAATCTCCATTCCCACCCCACTCCAGGGGAAGGATACTGCAAACTCTCCATTCCCACCCCGCTCCAGGGGAAGGATACTGCAAACTCTCCACTCCCACCCAACTCCAGGAGAAGGATACTGCAAAATCTCCACTCCCACCCAACTCCAGGAGAAGGATACTGCAAATTCTCCATTCCCACCCCACTCCAGGGGAAGGATACTGCAAAATCTCCATTCCCACTCCACTCTGGGGCCAGCCAGTGGTAGTATTTGCCGGTTCTCCGAACTCCTCAAAATTTCCGCTACCGGTTCTCCAGAACCTGTCAGAACCTGCTGGATTTCACCTCTGTTCCAATACCCAATGGTGGGTATTGGTTAACATCATCTTGGTGGGTCACCAAACATCTGCCAGAAAACCAGCCAGCTCAAAGAACCTCCCAAGACCACACAGTTCAAGCTTGAGCTATAAATATTCTCTCCTCCTGGCACAAATCCCAAACTTGATTTTTTTTTTAACTCTCGGGTCATCCAAATGCAGCCTGCGGGAATCCAAGGATCCTCAAAGGCGATTCCCCCACCAGATCCTTGCAAGACTCCCTTGTGGTCTTGAGCTTTTGCCTCTTTTGAAATATTGCGGGTGGGTGGGAGAGAAATGCGTGCAGAGGGAAGCCAAAGAGTGGGGAGGGGAGGTGGGGGAAAAGCAGGGCGGAAATGGAGTAGCTGAGTCGGGCTTTGACGCGCCCGCCTTTGATCCATTCAGAAATTCCCGGTGGCCAAACGGGGGGTGGGGGAAGGCGGGGGAACAAAGAACGAGGGAGCTCCCCGAGGAGGAGGAGGAGGAGGAAGGGAGGAGGAGGAGGAGGACGCGCGTGGATTGGTCGGCTCGGGACCTGAGCATCCGGGCGGGGCGAGGGAGGAGAGGGAGGGGAAGAGGCGAGGACTGCTGGGCGTCAGCAGCTGCCGGCACCACCTTGGCGGAGGCAGAGCCAAGAGGAGGAGGAGGAGGAAGAGGAGGAAGGCTGGGGGGGGGGGAAAGGCAGCTCCCTTCGCCATCTACCCAGGAAGCTGCCTCTGCAACAGTAGCTGCGCAATCCTCTGGCCTGGCATCCTCCACCCAGCCAAAAAAAGAAAAGAAAAGAGAGAAAGCCAACCAGTTCTGCAGAGCGCAAGCCAAAAGCTGCCAGTGAAACGAAGGAGAGGACCCTCGTTGCTTTTTGGCCCGGCTCTTTTGGGGAGTGGGGTGGGCTGGGGGGCGTGATGGTCGGGTGAACGCCTGCAGGGCAGCCCTCCCCACTCCTGCCACCGCCCCACCCGCTCGCCATGGCTGCCAAGGAGGACTTGTACAGCCAAGTGGCCCCGTGGAAGAGCCGGCAGAGCCGAGCGGGGACCATCAAGCGCGGCTCATCGCTGGAGATCCTGCTTTCCATGGGCTTCCCCAAAGCTCGAGCGTGAGTTAGGCCCGGGATAAGGCGGGGAAGGAAGGAAGGGGGGTGGGAGGGATCTGCTTTTTGGGGTGGGGGAGAGCTGGGAAGGGAGGGGTCCGCAGGTTTGCTTTGCCCCTCTCGGAGCTGGGTTGGCTAGCGCGCGTGCCAAAAAGCAAAACGCGCGCATCGCCGCGGGGATCTTGGGGTTCTCTCCAACCCAAGCGATGCTCTCTCTTCCAGCCTTGTCTGTCGGACAGCGTGGGGCAAAGGGAAGCTGCTTCTCCAGGCTAGGCGATGGGGGGGTTCTGGGGCGGCTGCTGCTGTTGAGCATCCTTTGGCCGGCCGGGCTGTTTTTTGTTTTTTTTTCTTCTTCTCCAAGGGAGCCGCGCTTGGCTTGGAGATGGGTTGGACTGCGCTCTTGTTGCACCGCAAGCGCAGAGGCCAAAAGCGACGCCTCGCCCAGCCCAGCAAACGGTCAAGCCAAGCTGCTTTCGGGGTGGTCGAGAGAGGCCAGCGCGCTCCACCGGTTTGTCATCTTGGCTTTTCGTTTCGGGTCCTTGTCTCCTTTTGCGCCTCCGCTGCAGCTCCGAGCGGCCCGTAATAAGCCAGGACTGAGTCTGCATCTGGAATCGAACCTGGGATGGTCCCCTCCCCTTCTCCCCCCCCACCCGAGGCTGGGAGTGATGGAGGTTGTTGTGGTCCAGGATGCCAGAGCATCCTTGGTTCCCAGACAGGTGAGAGCTTGCCTGGCACCCCTGGCAGGGTCGGTGGCCTCCACTTTGGAGGACTTGGCTGGGTCTCCCTTGCGAGGAGAGGATGGCACCGATGTTTTCTCCAGCGGGGAGTCCGTCCCTCTCCTCCCCTTCGCTGGGCATCGCCTCCTACGCCAGTTTTTCCAGCCTGTGCCCTCCAGCTCTCTCTCTCTGTGTGTGTGTTTTGGAACTCGACTTCCCAACCTGCCCAAGCAGTCAGGGTGCCTGCGGAGGAATGCTGGGAAACGTAGTCCTGGCACTTCCGAAGGCCGGCAGGGTTTGGAAAACTGGCTTCCACAACATTTCAGGCTCTCTGGCCTTGATGGAGATTTTTGGCTTGGCAAGGCTGGTTTTTCCTCTCCTTCTCTCTAGCGAGGTGGGTCAGCCCAGGGATGATATTAGCCAGTCAAGTGTCAAGGGAAAGTCTGTCAATTGTAAGGGGAAAAACCGGTTCGGCCGTTTTAAAATATCTTTCAGAAGAATTTAAATGCTAACCTTTGGCATCATTAACTTTTTATCCAGCAAACATCACCCATTAATGGCACCTGGGCCAGGTGCCATTCAAGGCACGGGAGCATACTTTTTTTTAAAAAAAAACCCCATCTTGGTTGACCAATGCAGGTGGTAGAACTGAAAGCGATACAAGGTCCAAAACAAGGTCATCCTCTCCGTTTCGGTTACCGTTGGATTGTGGTGACATGTGAAGGGTGTCACTTGGGGTTTTGTTCAAAACGCTTTTCGTGAAGGGTTTGAACCACGCTCCGAAACGACACAAAGCCAAATGAAAAAGGAAGCAGAAAGAAACGGAATCCAAACGCAGAAAGAAAGCAGAGAAAGAGAGAAAAGAAACCCGAAGTGCATAATAATAATAATAATAATAATAATAATAATAATAATAATAATAAAAGTAAAACTAGAAATAAGGAAAAAAAACAGAATATTTAAAGAAGGGACCCCCAGCCTTTGCAAACAAATTTTATTTATTTACATTTTTTTAAAAAAATTGATTTATATGCCGCCCTTCTCCGGAGACTCAGGGCGGCTTACAATGCGCTAAGCAATAGCCTTCATACTTTTTGTATATTTTATACAGAGTCAGCTTATTGCCCCCACAATCTGGCTCCTCAATTTACCTACCTTAGAAAGGATGGAAGGCTGAGTCAACCTTGAGCCTGGCGAGATTCGAACCTGCAGTAATTGGAGGCAGCTGGTCTTAATAACAGGGTGCTTTAGACCACTGTACTACCAAGGCTCTTTTGTATTTTGTATTTTGTATTTTCTAACCGCCCCTCTCCCTCTGAGATTAATATTTCCTCCCACCCCCCATAAAATAATGAACATAATCCACTTCTTCCCATCGAGAGATTAATTGAGTTTTATGTTCCTTGTTCTGCAAAACTCATTAGTGGTTTTGGGCCCACAGCAAGAGTTTTAAAGATTCCAGGTTTTTTTCTGCAACCAGCATTGCTTGCCTGTAGCTGTGACTGAACCCACAATATACTGTTACAGGGACAGTTATTTTCCAGCTAATTCAGAGGTTAAGGAAGACATTCCTCTTGGCCGCCATGCCAGTCTGTGATAATTGTTGGGACAAGGGAGGTGACGGTTAGATCCCACCAACTCAAAAGGCACAAGAAGCAGAACGACATACTTGGAAGGGACCTTGAAGGTCTTCTAGTCTAACCGTCTGCTCAAGCTGGAGACCCTCTACCATTTCAGACAAATGGTTGTCCAATCTCTTCTTAAAAACTTCCAGTGTTGGAGCATTCACAACTTCTGGAGGCAAGTTGTTCCACTGATTAATTGTTCTCACTGTCAGGAAATTTCTCCTTAGTTCTAGGTTGCTTCTCTCCTTGATTAGTTTCCACTCATTGCTTCTTGTCCTGCCCTCAGGGGCTTTGGAGAATAGCTTGACTCCCTCTTCTTTGGGGCAGCCCCTGAGATATTGGAACCCTGCTATCGTATCATTTCTACTCCTTCTCTTTATCAGAATAATAGAATCGGAAGGGACCTTGGAGGTCTTCTAGTCCAATCCTCTGCTCAGGCAGGATAGCCTATATTTATTTATTTATTTATTTATTTATTTATGTATTTATGTATGGATGGATGGATGGATGGATGTATGTATGTATGCATGTATGCATGTATTTATTTATTTATTTATTTATTTATGTATGTATGTATGTATGCATGCATGTATGCATGTATTTATTTATTTATTTATTTATTTATTTATTTATTTATTTATTTATCTATCTATCTATCTATCTATTTATTTATTTATTTATTTATTTATTTATCTATCTATCTATCTATCTATCTATCTATCTATTTATTTATATATATATATATATATATAATTGGTTATATATATATATATTGGTTCGATATATATACCGCCCTTCTCCGGAGACTCAGGGCGGCTTACAATGTGCTCAGCAATAGCCTTCGTACTTTTGTATATACCTGCTTAGTAGGTATATACAAAAGTGGGGCTTTTGGGCCCCACTAAGCAGTATTCTTTTTATATATATATATATATATACAAAGTCATCTTATTGCCCTCACAATCCGGGTCCTCATTTTACCTACCTCGGAAGGATGGAAGGCTGAGTCAACCTTGAGCCTGGTGAGATTTGAACTCGCAGTAATTGCAGGCAGCTGGCAGCTAAGTGCTACTTTAACAGCACTTTAGTCCGCTGTGCCACCAAGGCTCTATACCATTGCTGTACCATTGTTTCTTGTCCTGCCTTCAAATGCTTTGGAGAATAGCTTTATTCCCTCTTCTTTGTGGCAGCTCCTGAGATAGTGAAGCACTGCTATCATATCACATCTATTCCTTCTCTTTATCAGAATAACAAACTGAATAGACTTTCAGTTCTAAGGGACCTTGGAGGTCTTCTAGTCCAACCCACTGCTGAGGCAGGAAACTGTATCATTTCAGACAAGTGGTTGTCCAATCTATTCTTTAAAACCTCGACTTCTGGAGGCGAGTCGTTCCACTGGCGAATGGAAACTGAGCACGCTTCTGAGGGGCCTAGATTGCTTCATCAGGCAAGGGGGTCTAAACAGGCAGATGAAGTGGCGGAAGAAAAAGGAAGCTGCGGATATGCGTTGGTCACCAAGTCTGCCGAGTCATCATCTCAAAAATCAAGAGCTCTAATGGAATTTAAAAAAAAAAAGAAGAAGCAGACGGAAGTCAATGTTATGTTGTCTGTTTCTGGGTTTCGTTCGGCTCCTTCCATTTTCACGCTGTCTGATGAAGATTTGGAAATTTCAAAAGGTTCCCCCCCCCACCCGATTTGGTGGTTTTGACCGAACAGATTAACAGAGTTGGAAGGGACCTTGGAGGTCATCTAGTCCAACCCCCCACTCATGCAGGAGACCCCACACCATTTCTGACAAATGGCAGTCCAGTCTCTTCTTGAAAGCCTCCAGTGATGAAGCTCCCACAACTTCTGAAGGCAACTTCTGTTCCATGGGTTGATTGCTCTCACAGTCAGAAAATTTCTCCTTATTTCTAGGTTGAATCTTCCCTTGATCAGTTTCCATCCATTATTCCTTGTCTGGCCTTTGGAAAACAGGTGGACCCCCCTCCTCTCTGTGGCAGCCCCTCAAATATTGGAAGACTGCTGTCATGTCTCCCCTGGTCCTTCTCTTCACTAGACTAGCCCGGCCCAGTTCCTGCAACCGTTCATCATATGTTTTAGCCTCCAGTCCCCTCATCATCCTGGTTGCTCTTCTCTGCACTTTTTCTAGAGTCTCAACATCTTTTTTATAGTGTGGTGACCAAAACTGGATGCAGTACTCTAGGTGTGGTCTTATTAGGGCTTTATAGAGTGGTATTAGTACCTCAGTAGTATCTTACGTGAGCGTCTTGGGCAGCCTGCTTACTGTAATATAGATTTTGGATGATGACGATTGGAAATTTTGATTTGGGTGAACGGAAGGGTTCTTCGCTTTTCAATTTCCAATGAAATTAAACTAGGAAGAGGTTGGGGGAAAGGGCGAATTTTTATTTGCTTTTTATCTTCCCGCGACCGGTCTGTCGAGATCTAGTGTTCTGCCCCAGCTGCGGACCCCAAAGAACACAGCACACACAAAGTTTGTACAAAACTTAACTTTACTAAAATAACTCAGTCTTTTCCAAACAAAGGCTGTTGATAAACTTCCTTAACAGCCTACAAGAAAACAAAGATAAAGTAATCACAATCTTACTAAGGTTAGCCCAGAAGCAGAGAATCCAGACGCGAAGGAGAATGAACTAAAGTT